TGAATCAATCCTATGTTAGAAATGACCCTTACTTGCCATATTACTACTCAAGGCAACACATTTAAGTTAAGTAAGAAAAATTAATTTTAATGTCATTTGGAACGTATCAATTTTGGAGCCGTGTCGTTGGGGATTGTATTATCAATTTGTTAATCGCAATATTTTCTTTTTGTTGCTTTCTATTTCTTTTTGTTATTTTCTTTGTCGTTTAGGTTGTAAATGAGCAAAAAGCCTACAATACACTACAACCTATGATCAAGAAAAGAGGCCGACAAATCAAAAAGTCGAGAAGAAATTTCTCAAACTAGACATCTATGGCAATTGAGCATTGAATCCTCAAGTGAGTCCGAACGCATAGAGCCTGAAATGGCGGATGAAATAGAACATTAAAGGAACTTGCAGCTCCAACTTTTGTTCAACAACCTCTATGCATTCAATATCCTCAAATAGAGGTAGGATTCGAACTAAAGTCTAGAACGATTCATCTACTCCCCACATTTGATGGATTCATCGGAAAAGATCCCAATAAGCATTCGAAGGAGTTTCATATGGTTTGCTCAAGCATGAAACCGAAAGATATTTTGGAAGAGCAAGTCAAATTGCGGGCATATTCTTTCTCTCTTGCAGACACTGCTAAGGAATGACTTTATTATTTGTTGCCCGGTCTTATGACCATGTGGAATGAAATGCAAAAACTCTTTTTGGAGAGATTTTTTTAGCTTCAAAGGCTATTAACATCAGGAAAGAAATTTGTAACATTCGACAATTTCAAAGGGAAAATCTCGATGAATATTGGGAGAGATTCAAAAATCTATGTGCTAGTTCTGCAAACCACCAAATCAGTGAGCAATTACTTCTTTAATACTTCGATGAAGGATTACTTCTGATGGAGAGAAGTATGATTGATGTGGCTAGCAGTGGAGCTTTAATGGATAAAACACTGGTAGTTGCTAGGGATTTGATAGTCAACATGGTCGCAAACTCACAACAATTTGGTAGTAGAGAAGCAGCATCGGTTAAACAATTGGGGTAGGAGTAACCTCTCAAATTGAACGACAACTAGCCGGTCTTATATCTCTTGTACAACAAATGGCACTTGGGACAATGCAACAAGCAAAAGCATGCAAAATTTGTTCTATTATGGGACATCCTACTGATGCATGCCCGGCACTATAGGAAGGAGCCTCAGAGCAAGCAAATGCCAATGGGAGATTTCCAATGCAACAAAGACATAGATATTATCCATATGCTAACCCATATAATCCTGAATCGAGAGATCATCCTAATCTCAGTTGTGGAGAAAATCATTTCATAGCTTCACAATCACAATTTAATCATCCCTTGGGGTTCAATAAAAACAAATGCAACCACAACACACTCAACCACTTCAACTAACTCCATCTCAAAGTTCAGGGATGTCTCTTGAAGATACGGTTAAGTACTTAGCTTCTAGTACAATGCAATTTCAACAAGAGATAAAAACCTTAATAAAGAACTTGGAGACACAAATGAGTCAATTAGCCAACACAGTGGGCAAATTGAATGCTCAAGGATTGGGAAAACTTCTTTTTTAAACAGTCAACTTGAGAAAAAATGCTAGTGCCGTGACACTAAGAAGTGGAAAGCTTTTGGAAGAGACACCAAGGAAAATGAAAGATCATGTCGAGGAGTCAACGTAAGAGAAGAACTTAGCATGTGAGAAAGATGAAGCTACGACTCCAACGTCGGGATCTAAGGTAGATTCTAAAAGTTTCATTCCTACTTATGTTCCATCCCCTCCATTTCCTAGTAGGTTTGCAAAGTCCAAAAGGGATGAACATTTGAAGGAAATATTGAAGGATTTTCGTAAGGTTCAAGTGAACATACCACTTTTGGATGCCATTTATCAAGTGCCCCATTATGTGAAGTTTCTCAAGGAATTGTGCACTAACATGCATAGGTTGAAAGATAATAAAGTGTTAAGCGTAGGGAAAAATGTCTCGGAGGTCTTGCAAAAGAAACTCCTACCAAAATCCAGGAAGTTTTACCATCACTTGCATTATTGGTAACAATAGGTTTGAAAAAGCAATGCTAGATTTGGGAGTATCTATTAATGTCATACCATATTCTATTTATGCTTCTTTAAATTTGGGATCACTTAAGGAAACCGGTGTTATTATTCAACTTGCTGATAGATCCAATGCATTTCCAAAGGGTGTGTTGGAGGATGTTTTGGTGTAGGTAAATAAATTAATTTTTCCAGCAAATTTCTATGTTCTTAACATGCAAGATAAATCAACATCTCTATCGCTACGATTGGTTTTGGAAAGCCCATTTATGAGGACTGAGTGTACACAGATAGACATACATGATGGTACTTTGACAATGAAGTTTGATGGTGAGATTATTCGCTTCAATATCTTTGAAGCAATGAGGTATCCTAGTGATGTTCACGCTTGTTTTTCAATTGATATAATGGATTCATTAGTACAAAAAAAAATTGAATTATCAAATGAAGATGCATTGGATACCACTTTGATTAAAAGCATTGATGTTAACAATCTCATCGGGTTGAGCAAGAATCTACAATTGTGTGAGGATATTGTTGAAACCGTGGCATCACTTGAGTCACTACCAAGTATTCCACCAATGTATAATATCTCCTATATTACTCTTCCAATATCTAAAGAGAAACTTTTACCTTCGGTGATGCAGGCCTCCACTTTGGAACTTAAACCTCTTCCTGAGCATTTGAAGTACGTATATTTGGGAGAAGAGTAAACACAGTCGATGATCATTGCAAAGAATCTCACAACACTTCAAGAAGACAAGCTTATCCGTGTTCTCAAGGAACACAAAATAGTTATTGGTTGGACAATAGCCGATAATAATGTGATAAGCCATTCCATGTGCATTCACCAAATATTGCTCGAAGATGGAGCAAAGCCATCAAAAGAAGCACAACGTCGCTTGAATTCTCCAATGATGGAGGTTGTGAAGAAAGAAATTTTGAAATTACTAGACGTTGGTGTTATCTTCTCCATCTCAGATAGCAAGTGGGTAAACCCGGTCCAAGTTGTTCCAAAGAAGCCCAAAATCAAAATGGTGACGAATGAAGAGAATGAGCTTCTACCAACTTGGGTCCAAACAGGTTGGAGGGTTTGTATTGATTATAGAAAACTTAATTCTTTACCCTTTATCGATCAAATGTTGGAAAGATTAGCAGGCCATTTTCATTATTGTTTTCTTTATGGTTATTCAAGTTATAACCAAATTGTGATTGCTTTGGACGACCAAGAGAAGACAACATTCACTTGACCGTTTGACACTTTTGCTTACTGATGCATGCCCTTATGTCTTTGTAATGCTCTCGTAACCTTTCAAAGATGTATGATAAGTATATTATCTGATTATATTGAAAGCATCATAAAGGTTTTCATCGACGATTTCAGTGTTTATGGTAATACCTTTGATAATTGCCTGAAAAATCTCACACTTGTGCTTAATAGATGTATGGATTTTAACCTAGAACTTAATTGGGAAAAGTACCATTTTATGGTCGATCAAGGCATTGTGTTAGGCCATGTCATTTCTGCCAAGGAAATAAAAGTTGATAAATCTAAAATTGATTTGATTCGTTCTTTACTCCCTCCAACAAGTATGAGGGAGGTTCATTCTTTTCTTTGACATGCGGGATTTTATCGAAGGTTTATCGAAGATTTTTCAAAGTGTGCAAGACCATTATGCAGGATGTTGTAAAAGGAGGTGCCTTTTCATTTTGATGAAGATTGTAAAAAGGCGTTTGAAAGCTTGAAGGAACTCTTGACATCAACATCCATCATTCAACCACCAGATTTGAATATGCCATTCAAATTGACGTGTGATGCAAGTGACTTTGCATTGGGAGCCGTTTTAGGGTAACGAGTTGGAAAGACACCACATGTTATTTATAATGCATCAAGAACTTTGAATGATGCCCAACACCACTAAGAAAGAGCTTTTAACAATTATTTTTGCCTTAGAGAAATTTCCTTCATATCTTATTGGCATAAAAGTAACTATCTTTTTGATTATACAGCTCATAGATACTTGCTTGCCAAGAAAGAGGCAAAACCAAGACTGATTAGATGGATACTCCTCTTACAAGAGTTTGACCTTGAGATTAAAGATAAAAAGGGGAGTGAAAATTCTGTGGCCGACCATCTCAGTCATGTTATCCATGAGAGAGAAACTCTCTCATCGCAAGAGAGCTTTCTCGATGGACAATTGCTTCACGTTACAGACACATCTCCTTGGTCGAATATATTAAACTATTTAGTCATTAAGAGAATTCCAAATGACTTGACCACTGCTCAAAGGCAAAAACTCAAGGCAACGGCCTAGTATTTTGGGTGGAATGAGCCTTACTTGTGGAAACATTGTCCAGATCAATTGATAAGAAGGTGCGTGCCTGAAAATGAATTTTATTCAATACTAACCTTTTGTCATTCCTATGCATGTGGTAGACATTTTGGAGCAGAGAGGACGGCTCTCAAGGTGCTTGAAAGTGGATTCTATTGGCTTAACATATTCAAAGATGCATTATTCTTTTGCGAATCTTGTAATCGATGTCAAAGAATAGGTACGTTGGGAGCCCGAAATCAAATGCCACAAACACATATACTTTTTGTTGAAATTTTTGATGTTTGGGGCATTAATTTCATGGGACCTTTCCCTTCGTCTTATGGTAATCTTTACATCATTCTTGCCATTGATTATGTGTCAATATGGTGGAAGCAAGAGCCACTCGAACTAATGATTCTAAAGTGGTTGTAAATTTGGTTAAATCCAACATTTTTGTAAGGTTTGGAACATCAAGAGCTATTATTGGCTATAAGGGACTACATTTTTGCAACCACTCCTTTTGGGCCCTGTTGAAGAGATAAAACATCACCCATAAAGTGGCTATACCTTACCATCCGCAAGCTAGTGGGCAAGTCGAAGTGTCTAACCGAGAGATCAAACCCATCCTCGAAAACACTATGAATCCCAATAGAAATGATTGGGGTCTCTGCCTCAACGATGCACTTTGGGCTTATAGGACGACATACAAAACATCGATTGGCATGTCCCCTTATTGGTTAGTTTATGGTAGGCCTTGTCACCTCCCGGTTGAACTTGAACACAAGTCATTTTGGGCAGTAAAGCAATGCAACATGGACCCAAGTATGATGGGTGATCAAAGAAAGCTTCAACTTAATGAACTTGAGGAAATTCGAAATGAGGCCTATGAAAGTTCAAGAATTTAAAAGGAAAAGACTAAGGTGTACCATGATAAAATGATTTCAAGAAAAGCTTTTGTTGTCGGACAAAAAGTTCTTCTTTTCCACTCTCGCCTCAAGTTATTTCTAGGTAAATTATGTTTTCGATGGATTGGCCCTTTTGTTGTTACTAATGTTTTTTTCTCATGGTGTAGTAGAAATCAAAAGCCTGCAGACTAATAAAGAGTTTAAGGTGAATGAGCATCGATTAAAGCTATATTTTGAACCCTTTATACCTCAAAATATGGAGAAAATGTGATTGGACGATCTGATTGAAGAAGCATGAGGGAGGACACTTCTTTTTGTTTTTTGTGAATTTTTGTCACCAATGGTCCCCAACCATCATCACAGCCGTCACCATCAAAACCAACTTAGGGGAATATTTGATCCTCTTGCTCTTTCTATTCTTTTTGCTTGTACATTGAGGACAATGTGCAATTTAAGTTTGGGGGTGAGGTGGTATGTGCTAAATTTTTTGTGGAATTTTGTGATTTGTGCTAAATTTTTTTTAGCTAAAAACTCAAATTTCATGTTAAACACTTGCTTTTGTGCTTGTTTGTGTTGTTTGATAGTTTTGCCAATTGCATTTTGAGTGTTGCGTTGCATTGATTTATGAATTGGGAGCATGAATGCTAAGTGTTATTTATTTTCATCCACTTATTCAATGATTGACTCTTTATGGAGCACTTGGTTCATGAGATTCATTACACGAACTTGTTGGCTGCACTTGTAGGTTGTTAAGGGAACTTAAATGACCATGCTGTTAGAAATTTTTCAATTACTCTACCAATGAAAGGATAAGTTTGGGGGTTGTTGAACCTGTGAAAGAACTTATTTAGAATTGCATTAATTCCCGACTCAGTGACTGATTTTGTGGAGTGTTCTTAGACTTCAAATGAAAGTTAGATGTTGTTTTCCATCTATTTATATTTAAAAAAAAAATCTCTATAGGAAAAAGTTGTCTACCCTAAGGAGTGTGAGTCAGCATTGAGTAATCTGGTCCTATGCATCACCAATGCGTACGAGACGATCTACGAATGAAGAAGGCTACCCTTAAGGACTAGAGCGAGGACTATCTACACTGGAAAAAAATGAAGAAAAGGAAAAGGGATGCTATAAGCATCTAGGGTTGATAATGTTGTAGGATTGATGGATTGTGAATAATCTGCCTAATGAAAGCTTGTGGTCTAAGCATTCAATTTTTTTGGTGAATTCATACATGACTATATAATTTGTTTTATAGGTTCAAACTAATCAAATTCGAGAGGGAAAGATTAAGTGATTTGAGGACAACCTTAAGTTCTTGATACCTTGGGCTAGAGTAAAAATATCGAGTTTGGGGGAGTGCGCATCCCAAGAATGACAAAGGAAAAATTTGACCATTGAGTGTCGGGAAAATCACCAGCTTGTGTACTGCGATGAATTGAAATGACTACACACACACACATAAGTCAAGCATGGTGTAAGTTTAAAAGTGTTTGTTGTAGCATTTTTGTAAACATTTCATAAGTTATTTGCATAATGTAAGAATTGAAGCAAAGTGACAAAATATCGAATAGTTGGAGTGTTTGTTATTATAGTATTATCGTTTGGTTTTAATTTGTGTGTTGTATAGCTTTGTTCGAGGACTAACAAAGATTTAAGTTTGGGATGTGATAAGTACGGGTTTTTGAACTTATTCGGCCATTAAACCTAGATTTTTGTGAGTTTCATTAGCGATTTATTACCTAATTTAGTTGTTTTTATCATGTAGGTGAAAAATCAACGTTGAGTGATGATTTGAAGGAACTTGTGCAAGAAAAGATGAAAAACGATAAAGAGAAACGAAGAGGAAGCTTGAAGACGCAACCAATATTTAAAAAAGGCACTGTAGTGCCCAGATTCTGCCCATTTATGGGAAGAAATTGTGCCCAGATTCTGCCCATATGCAAACAAATCTGCTTCTCCATATTTCTGTGGAGGTTTAATCTATCTGCGAGGTCTATCCTTAGCAATCAAATACTATGGAGCTGATGGAGGAATAGGCAAAGTAGGTGAAGTATTACTGTTTGTCAATTATAAGTTGAACTGTTCTGAAGTAGATTGTTCTTTAACCTTTAATTGTTCCCGTGGACTAATTTCCAACTCCACCTGAGTTGAATGTTTTTGTTCTTCTGCTTTATCATAATCCCCATGAGGTGAACCATGAACCACAGCAAGTTCATCAAATACTACATCTCTACTAATCACAATATTTATCTTCTCTGGACACAACAATTTAAATTCCTTTACACTTGATTTGTGCCCAAAAAAGACACTTTCTAGACCTAGGCTCCAACTTCCTAGTATCCACATGAACATAAGCAGGACGCCCAAAAATCTTCAAATAAGTATAGTAAGAAGGTTTACCAGACCATACCTCTTATGGTGTCATTTTCTCAATGGCAAATGAGGGTGAGTGGTTTGTTATAAAAGAAGTTGTGGTAGCAGCTTCAGCCCAAAAAAGTCTTAGGCAACCCAGAGTTTGAAAACATACATCAAACCTTTTCCATGTTCTGCCACAACATTTTGTTGAGGAGTTTAAGGCACTGTCAAGTGTCTCAAGATACCTTCAACCCTGTATAAACTATTGAATTCATCTGAACAAACTTCCAAATCATTATTTGTACGTAGACATTTAACCTACTTTCCAGTTTGCTTTTCAATCATAATTTCCCATTCTTTGAAGATCCCAAACACGTCACTATTTTGTTTGAAAAAGAATACCCAAACATTTATGAAAAAATCATCAATTACTATCAGCAAGTAATAGACACCTCATCTTGAAGGTACCCTGGCTGATCCCCAGAGATCTGAATGGATATACTCAAGTGCCGCTTTAGTGTTTTGTCTACATGTAGTAAATCTAACTCTAATCTATTTCTCGAAGACTTCATGCTTACAAACTGGTCTTTTACACATCAAGAAGACTCATTTTATTCAATTCTGCCATGCCATTTTCACTCATATGCACAAGTCGCATATGCTAAAGTTTAGTGATTCATCATCAGTCATAGAAGAAGTGGAAACTACTGCATCACCTGTAACTGTAGAACCTCGCAAAATGTAAAACTCCATAGAGTTTTTCTGTCCCTTGATGACTACAAGAGCATCCTGACTTACCTTCAAAACTTCACACTCACCAATGTATTTATACCCCTTCGATTCAAGTGTACTCAAAGATATAAGATTCTGCTTCAGTCCTGGAAAGTGCCCGACGTCTATAAGTGGACTAATAACACCATTGAACATTTTGATTTTGACTATACAAACTTTGACAATTTTACAAAGCACGTTGCGTCCCATAATCACTTCACCTCTGGAAACTCGTTCATGTGTTTTAAACAAGTCCCCATTAGGATAAAAAGTTGATCCAACTTCAACCACAATGCAATGACACTATAAATCGGCCACGATTTTTTTGAACATTGGTAGGTGATCATCTATTGATGTACCTTCAGACATCCGGTGAGAATACAAACGTTGTTTCAAGTATAACTTACTGATCAAGTTCTTTGTCATAAAAAGTTGCTCCAACTTCAACCACAATGCAATGACACTATTCTCCTTGATGACATTCTAAAGAACTTGATTTGATAGATGTAGATGAATTTGGATTTGAGCTTTTCGATCTCTACGCTACATTTTCCCTCCATCTAGGTTGAAAGCATCTTATGAAAGCCAAGTAAAGCTTCCTCCAAATTCATCTATGAGAGAATTGCTCGCGTCTTCACTTGCCATAAAGTAAATCTCATGTTTTGATCGAATAACGAAATATCAAACTTTATCGTTGCCATGCAAAATAATCAACCTTGATCTGATACAACTTATTGTGAATTGATCAGAAGATTATGATAATAATGAAGTGAAGTAAAGAAAAACAAGAACACAAAGATTTTATGTGAAAATCCAAGACGGGAAAAAACTACGGGCAGAGGAGAAGAATTTACTATAATCAATAGGAATTGTATTTACAAGATCTCAATACTCTCAACTAAAATATAAAGCTCTCAAGATGTTGTATTTTCTATTGTTCTTGACAATACATGCTGTTTTGTATAAATATAAACCCTAGAAACCAAGTTGTAGATGAATAAAAGTCCAAAATGCATTAGAACTCGAAAAGTAGGGAAACACCATTGCTTGAGTGGCGTTATCCGATAGGGGACAAAAAGCGTGAGAAAAATCTCTGCTCCAATTTTGACAATTGGCTCGAACGTCTAGCTAGCGAAAATGCGACAATAATTTGTCCCAGTTCATAAGTTGATTTCTCCAAAACCACTTCAAGTTACAAATCCAATATCTACAAGATTTTGGTCACACTACAACATATATATCTCATGTGCACTTAATTATAATATTATAGGTGTCATTTAAATGTGAAAGTAATGATGTGCTAATTTGCAGGAACTTGGTTGTTTACCCAAATGGAAACAAAGATGAAGGTATTACGGACCACATTTTCGTGTAACTGGTGATTATACAAAAAGAGTTGCTCAATCCCAATGGGGAGATTTATGCAACTTTTCGATTTTTTTATCCATTCAAAGACAATTATTTTACTCTCAAAGGTATAGCTACATCACCTACCTTCAAACTAAATTGAAAATCGATTAAAGTCAACTTAATAATTTGGGGAAATGGTTTAACAAAATGAAGTTCAAGTATGGATTCGATACATTTGTACCCTACCCCCTTCAATGATCCCACAAAGGATTATGTGGTGAATGACACTTTGTTAGAAAATAGATGAGATATATGGCAAAATATGAAGTAGTAATCACAACACAAGAACCCAAAAAATCGGTAGAGGAGGAAATTTCTCTAAAATATGGAGAAAGAATACAATGATTTTGTGTTTCTAATTGTTCTCTAATATATTCTAACTCTATATGAAGCCAAAATCATGTGAAATATATATAGAACCCAAAAGAATATCTTTAAGATATAAAGAGCATAAAAAATCGAGTAAATAATCAGAAAAAATTCTTTTGGATAACACTATTGCTCGAGCGGCACTCGACACCAAGCTCACAGTGAGCAAACGACAATGCAACACTTCGTTTGGTGCTCAAGCATTAAATCTCTATTTCAAATCCAATTTTCACACCTAATTGGCGTCTAGGGACCAAGATTGGGCTCTTGAGCTTCCAATCTCAACCACAACATAATTGTATTCATATATTGACTTCCTTAACTCCTTTTTCAAACAATACAAAAATACTAGATGAATTTGGTTTA